GAGGCGGGGAGAGAGCCTGGGCTGGAGCCGCCAAACTGGTGGGGGAGAGCCCCGCGACGGGGAGAGGGGGCGGGGGCACCGGGAGCGGGACTCGGGGGCGGGAGCCGAGGGGGCGCGCCGGCGAGTGGTGTAGGGACTGGAGACGGGGTGGGGACGGGGAGAGCTTGGGCAGAGGGTGGGAACGGATGGAGCAGCTTGGAAGGAGAAGCAGGAGCTAGAGGGGGTCGAAGGGGGCGGAGGAGACCCAGGCCTAAATCCCGGCTGGATGGGTGTGGGAACCAGGGTGACCCGAGGGTGGGGCCCAGGTGCGCCAGGGTGGTCAAGGAAGGGGAGTGGCCGGCAGGGCGGGGAGCCGGGTACCGCGACCGAGCCCTTGGCCCTGAGAGCCGGGAGGCGAGTTTGGGCTAGGGGCTCTGCCGGCAGGGGATGGAGGGTGCATCCTTCGGATCAGTTGTATGCTTCGGAAAAACAAGTTTTTTCCAACTTAGGTATACAGTAACTAATTGAAAAAATGAGCAGCATTTATTTAACTGCAGTTAATCAAAATATGAGGAACACATTTCTTTATTGTTAGTCTTATGAGAAAGGTCACTTGCCATAGACAATAGTAGTGTTTACTGAACACTTACTAGGTGGCTCTGTGCTGAGTGATTTATAAACACTATAGATTTTTAATCCTCAAGCCTTATGAAGTAATTGCCATTTTTATACTTCACACAAAAAAATTGACGCTTAAAGAAGTAAAGTAATTTTCCCAGGGTCACACGGCCAGCAAGTTAGAGAGGATTTGAGTCAAGATCTGCCGAGCTCCAAAGCCCATGTTTTAATCGTATCTTCAACCTCAAATTTGTAGGAATACCACCAGTTTTATTTGGGGAAAGAAAAAGTGTGTGTTTGTGTTTGATTACGGAAAGAAAATGTTTGGAAGGCTATAACACAAATGTTAGCACCAGGGAGTATAGTTAGAAGGGGTGTGTAATGGGGTACTTCCACTTTCTATTTTGTGCACTTACCTAGCGTTTGAAATGTTTGCATTGACGATGCATTAATGTAGTAAATTTTTAAAGATTTTTTTTAGGGCCGGCCCGTGGCTCACTCGGGTGAGTGTGGTTCTGATAACGCCAAGGCCACGGGTTCGGATCCCATATAGTGACGGCCGGTTAGCTCACTGGGTGAGCGTGGTGCTGACAACACCAAGTCAAGGGTTAAGATCCCCTTACCGGTCATCTTTTAAGAAAAAAAAAAAAAAAAGATTTTTTTTTAATTAGCTGGAATGATAGAATTACATTCCCTGAAAACCCAAAGTATTCCAAAAATTTAGTAGAGAAAATGGGAAATGCAGGGTTTTTTATGGCCTGTCTTATTCCACTAATACTAGTCTATAGTGTTACTACAGTGAGGTAGTCACCTGAGGTCTGTCACATTGCTGGACTGGGATTTTCTTTCCTGTCCTCACCCCCAACTGTGAGTCCTCCCTCCGGGAGCCGGCAGAGGAGACATCGCCCCTCCCCGCGCCCCCAAACCTCGCCCATCCCCCCCAGCCGGCTCCGCCCCTAACCCCTACCCTCCCCCACCGCTTCTCTCCACCGCCCAGTCCCCCATCCCTGACTCCACCCCTTGCTTGTTCCCATACCCCAATGATGGGGTCCCGCCCCCTAACGATACCCCCCACGCCAGAACTGCCTTCTGTCAGAGTGCTTACAACCCCTCTACACACAGTGGGGCGCAATAAATATTTGTTGCCAGACTTTACACCCCTAAGTTGGATTGTGAGGGCTATAGACTCCTGTCCTGTTCCCCCAAAGACACACACACATCTTCCACCTAAGCACAGGGGCAGGGCACACATGGACACACCTGAGACAGGCACATGTTCCCCCAAGGCACAGGTGCATAGAGTCACCAGCTGGCACAGCACCTGAAGACGTTCCTACATATACATATTCTCCATGGCATGCACATTTAGACACATGTACCTGGGGGTACATGACCACAAACACACCTAGCTACATGTACATGTCATATCCCTGTGCCAGAGCACACACGCAGCACATTGCACCACTTGCACACCATACACACACACACACACACACAGATCCGAGCAGCCAGGTGTGCACACTCAGATCTCAAAACCCCAAAGTGAGGACACACTACTGTAGGGAGATGTGTGCCTACCTTCCCATCACACTGACCCACCTCACCGTCTATCACACAGGCATGCACACACCTGTTTAGATGCACAACACTGCACCATAGCTCCACTCCAGGATAGTTATTACTGACATTTCTTGAGCACTTTTTGTGTGCCAGGCTCAGTGACTTTCACCATTCCCATTTTTCAGTGGGGGAAACTGAGGCACAGAGAGGTTAAGTAACTTGCCCAAGGTCATCAGCTATAAAGAGGTGTTGCCAAGGATCAGAGACAGGTAGGCTGGCTCCAAAGTCTTCACACTATTGTGTAATTGGTCACCCTCATAGTTGTATATCCTCTTTCAGCACACACAGACATGCCCAACCATCACCTCAGAGCTCACATGCACATGTGAGCAGCCTGCTGTATGCAAATAGCTCACTCATGCCGGGACACATGCACAGAGACAGGGTAGATCCCATGGGACAGCAGTGAGCATTCCCTTAGCCCAGGCTTCCACCTTCTCGCAGCTCCAACAACACATCCAGGGCTGCCAGCCCAAGCACAAGCACCTGCAGAGGGAAGTTCTAGGTAGCATGTTCACCTCCAGCTGCAGGCTTTCCAGGGTACCCAGCATGAGCTGGAGCAGGTGCCCACCCAGCCTGGGGAGGCCCCTATCTTGATGCACACTCACCCACCCAGGTGGTGAACAGCTGGGCCTAGGAAGAGAACAGCTGCCTACATTGGCACCAGCAGCAAGAGAGGTTGTACACCCCTCTACAGTTTATAAGGCCTTTCCAAGTCTATGCTGGGAATGATTTCTATAGGTCTCTAGCTCCTGGCGAGGGGCCTCCTGGTCCCCAGTGGGCACCTGAGGCTGTGAGCAGCCTGCCCAAGGTCACACTGCCCTCAGTGTACCAAGCTTTCTTGGAAAACAAAAGGCTGAATGCATACATTTTCAAGGTCCCTCCTGGGGCTCCCAGCAGCTGAGGGCAGATGCCCTGCTCTTGCTTGGAGCCAGAAGCCTTGGCTAGCTGCCGCCATGCTGGTTACCTCCAGCAGACCTGCTGTCCGCTCTCAGAGCCTTGGTTTCCTCCTTTGAAGGGCAGGCCTTTGTGATTCCTAGCTGGTGAGCTCCATGCTTATTGGCACAACCAGCCAGTCCGAGACTGGAAAAGCCTGGCATGATT